GTATAGTAGAGTTTGAAGAGATGTGTCTTGAGGGCAGTTTTGAAGGCTTGGATGGTCGGTATATTGCGGATGTGTAATGGGAGAGAACTCCATTGTTTAAGAGGCAGAGAAAGATTGTTCACCATTGTTTTGGTGTGTGTCCTGGGAACAGAAAGAATGCGCGTGTCTGCGGAGGAACGAAGCTATAGAGGGGGTGAATAGATAGAAAGACGTTCAGTAAGATAGGAAGGGCAGAAACCAGAGTATGACTAGCTTGCAGTAGCTATCCTAGGTCTAAAATTATCATCTGCACCTTTTGGGCTGAATGATAAGAACATATACTATCATCAGGGTCGGCGCTAGGAGGGTGCGGGGCCTTGGACAAATTGAATTTTGCGGGGCCGTTGACGTTATATATTCCGCCAATAGGATATTTAGACACGTTATAGTCGTACTGGGGCCTTGCTGGTCATAATGGGACGCGTCATAACGGATATTTGCTCATTTGCTTATTTTACGAAATTTCTATTTTTTTCCTGTAACAGTTAATTGCCCTAGCCCAAATTACTCATCGCGGCTCAATTGTTACAAATATCAAGGTTGTCAAAAACAAATACCGAAAACACGAAGCTGAACACAAGCAAAACACAAGCAAAAAATAAGACTAACAATATACTCACGACAGGGCCGGCCTTAGGCCACTGCAACCTATGCGGCCGCAGTGCCCCCCCCCTTTTTGTTTTCTAATACAAAATCTTAATTTTCACTTATTATCCTTATCCCTACCCAGACTGGGCCCCGCGTAATCCGTTTCGCATACGGCCCCGCAATTGTTAAGGCCGGCCCTGACTCACGATAGCTCTTAGCGAAAATTCACCTTCCTTGCTTTCTTGGTGGCAAACTCCGAATATTGTGTTGACTGGATTAGGAACTATTAGCAGGCTTAGGTATATTATAAATATACTACGGCAACGCGCCTTGGGCGGTCGCCCACTTCGCCATCCCCTAGCGCCGGCCCTGCTATCATGATACAAATACAATTATAACATTGTTGTCATTACGTCTAAGTGTCACTTTGTCTTAGTTCATCACTAATTTTTTTTTTTTTTAAATATCATTTTTACAGTTAATTTACCACCGTCTAACTGTTTATACAACCACTATATGTGATAGTAAACATGCGCGAGTTTAACGCATTGCTTTTAAATGTAAATTATGAATGCACATAAGTGTATCCTTCTAGAATCTAGATGCATGTAGATTAAGGCGCCCCGTAGAAGTTGGTTTAATTGCCTGAATGACGCCATTAATTTTCTATTTAATATACACTGTATACACTTGATTTATAAATCCTCTAAATTTCTAATTTTATATGGACAGTTTGTATCTGCTGCATACTGAGTTGTTGTGTTTAAATTATTAAGAATTAAACTAAAATTAATTTTAAAAAGAAACAAGCCAGGCGTTTTTTTTTGTTATTCATGTCACGTGTGGTTTCTATTGCCGGAATGACTTAAAATTAATTAGTCAACAAAATGGGATTTATTTAAAATGTGCACACAAATGATGCATCTCAATTCATGTCTAATTTTTTTTTTTTTTATGCTGAGCTTGCTTTGAGTTTAACACATGAGATTGCTTTTAATATCTGGATTTTATTGAGAGACTTTAAGTTTTAGAAAGATACTCTGGTGTGGTGAAATGATATCAGCAGTAGCGTCACTAGAGGGTGCAGGGGTACGAACCGCATCGGTAGACACCCTCACAGAGGGGTGACTCTTAGTGGTAAATTACACAGAGTTTGCTCGAGTCGGTTTCAAAACAGATCTAAATTATTAAATACATGAAACGAGTTCAGAGGCGTAGTTAAGGGGGGCAGGGGGCAAATGTCCCCGGGCGCATAACTAGTTAGGGACGCCAAAATGTGCTTTGATATTATTTTATTGATGAAAATAATGGGTTTGAGAGTTGAAAAAAGAAAGGAATGCGCTTTAAAATGAATATTGCCACGGACACCAAACACTCTAGCTGCGCCTCCGAACAAGTGTCACTGTGTGGCACTAGAACAGTGTGCCACCAGATCAGATTGCCAAAAGAACGGTGTTTCTCCAGAAATGGCATGCAGAGGTCCATGTGGAAGTCTGGAGGGGCTGAAAACATCACATTGCTGCAACTTGCTGTAGGCGTCATTGTACATTGCAATTTAAATAACACCTTAAAAATTCAGGGGGGTGGAGTGAAAATACCCCCCGGTCATGGGCGCCCGCAGGTAGGGGCAAGGTGGGGCACTTGCCCCCCCCCCCCCGGATGGATTGGAAAAAAAAATTTTAGACAAAAA